CAGACCCCACGGACCCCCGGCACTTCACGATATGATACCTTTAGGGATAAAGAGAGGAAGATCGGCCACAGGAGAGTGGGAGAAGGAGGCATCGTTACATACAAAAAAGTAAGTGTATTTTTGTCTGTTTACGTATCTGTATGTGTATGTATATGGGTGTGGCTTAGGTGGAAAGGGTGGTGGGTGGGACTGCATATATACATGTTTGTTTGTTTGTCTGTAGGCTATTTTGAGTGTATTAGTGAGTGAGTGAGAGTGAAGGGCTATGTGGCAAAGCATGAAAAGTTGTGTCTGTTTGAGGAGTATGTTTTCAGGTATATGCACATTCTAATCTCCGTCTTCACACCTACAGATTGGGACTTCACAACTTATGGCATCAATCCAGCTGGGTATCCAACAAGCAGTGGGAAGCCTGGCAAGCAAGCCTGATCTGGATGTTTTAATCCAGGATTTTTATGTTGTAGAAACTATTTTTTTTCCTTCTGTTGGTTCTCAGTCAACACCAGCTCATCAGTTTTCTGAGTTTAGGTAAGTTAACTTTTAAGGTGACATTCCTTCTTACTCTCAGTTTTTTTATAGAAGTTTTTGAGCAGATTTATAGGGAAAAAAGAAAAAAAAAGAATGTATGGATGATTTTATGCTAGTAGTCAGTTAAGCATGAGAGAATTGATTAAGGATCTTGATTCTTTCTCTCACAGGTTACTTGAATATGATTTATTAAATGTACTCTTCTTATATGAATAATAATAATAAAGGGTGCCTTGAAATATCTTTAACGAGACCATCTTCTTCTTCTTCTTCTTCTTCTTTCCCAGAAAAAAAGCTTTATATGTAATTTGTGCATCCTTGGAGAATCATGTGGCAAATTATAATTGCCAAATTCATAAAAAAAAATGACTTTAAAGGACCCTCATTGAGATTCACTACTGTACATATTTATGTTATGTATTTCTATTTAACAATGATCTTTAATTCTCTGAACAAATGCTTAAGAATTTTCAGTTTGGTACATTTTGTCAACTTACAATTTTGCAACACTTGCAGAACCTCTACAAGGGCTAGGTTCACATCAACTGATGATTTGCAATTTTTTGGCTCATTTGTAGGTATATACAAGTTATATTGTTGCAATAATAGCTGGGGAATGGAAATAAACTTTCTTTCTACATTAAACTAAAGAGAAATCATAATGCCTATTCAAACTGTCATTGGATCAGGCCTGCCCTTGCATTTATTTTGCAAGCTTTTTTTCTCTCTCTCTCTCTGCAAATTACTAAGGCAAGATTCTGAGATTTGGCAGGTGATATGTATGTAAAATTAGACATGTTCTATATTAGTATCATCCAAATTTACTTGTAAATAATGATGAGGAGAATGATAAAAAGAAGTTACCATTGAGGGTCCCCTAAGCATATATTTTTTTTTTTATGGAATCATTATTCTCTCACACACACACACACACACAAACACAAACACAAACACACACACACACACACACACACACACACACACACACACACACACACACACACACACACACACACACACACACACACAAAATATAGCTACTTTGTGTATTATATTTTTCTTATTTTTGTTATTGAAGTTTATAACAAAATTATTTTTTTTTATTTTCAGATTCAAAGTGTATGCACCCATAGCATTTAGACATTTTAGAGATCTGTTTAAAATTCAACCAGAAGACTATCTTGTAAGTACATTATTATTAGAACTGCCATTTACAATTTTGTATGATAATGTTAATAGTAATCCATAACAAGGTGGACAGTAAAAAAAAAAAAAAAATGTCTTTTATTTTCAATTCATCTTATAGTTTTAAAAATGCAGTCTGTTGATAATGTATTTCTTTTTATCATCTTTTAAAACTAATGTTACATTGTTCCCCTCCAGGTTTCATTGTGCAGCGAGCCTCTTCGGGAACTAAGTAATCCTGGGGCGAGTGGCAGCATATTTTATTTAACAAATGATGATGAGTTCATTATCAAGACAGTGCAGCACAAGGAGGCAGAGTTCCTTCAAAAGTTATTGCCAGGATATTATATGGTAAGATTGGTGTTCTTGTCATTTCTCTTACTCGTCTTCTTTTAATTCTTTTTCTTCTTTTTCTTCTTTTTTCTTCATCTTTCTCATTTTTTTTTTCTTGTCTTAGATTTATCCATATTGTGTTAATGTTTTTCTGTATATATATATTTTTTTTCTTTCTTTCTTTCTTTTTCTTTTTCTTTTTCCTCTTCCTCTGCCTCCACCTTCTCCATCTCCTTTCCCTTTTCCTCCTTCCCTCCCTACCTTTCCCTTTCTCTTTCCCTGTACCCCTATCCCTCCTCCTCCTCCTCCTCCTCTTCCTCCATATTTTGTTCTGCCTTTTTTCTATCTTCCTCCACTTTTTCTACCTTCTTCAGATCCTCCTTCATATTCATTTGTAGCCTTAACTCATAAATGTTCACCCATTTATGTGAATGCAAAGGTTACTATCTGTGATCCATTATGTACAAGTTCAAATCTAATCTTTTTGCTTCAAATTTAAACCTTTGGACCTGACCTGTCTATTGTAGTTTTTCTTTTGTCAATTTTATTTACACATATGTAGCTCCACAAGTCTTTAGCCACCAAGGAGTTTGATACTAGACCTACCTGACCTCACCTGTTTAACTCATTCATTGAATTTTCTTATTTATCATGTTATTATCAGTAATAATTATTGTTATTTATTATTGTTATTATTTACATTATCATTTCTATAACCTTTGTAACAATACAAATGTTTATGAAAATAGAAACTTTTCTTTCCTGAAATTCAGAGAATAGTGATCAGTAATTGACTCCTTGTGACTAGGCATTTATGGAGCCATGTTCATTGATATTACCTTAAATCTACCCAAATTCCAATTTTTTTTGTCCTTTTCTCCTAAAGGAATTGAAGAGAAATTTTGCAGCAATGAAGAGTGAATTATTGTAATCAATACTTAGTAACAAAGATCCTAATTTTTTAAATGAATAAAATTGTTCTTAAAGTTTGTTCTTCTAACTCAAGAACCAATAAAGCTTGGAGCTGTATATGTATTTGGACTATGTTATATTGTTACAATAATATCAATAGTAAAATTGAGCTGGATTTGCAGCTTGGTACACTGCATAATAAAGTGTGACCATTTATTAATAAATGTTACCCTAATTTCCAATTTGCAAAGACATTAAAAAAAATTATTGATAATTTTCTATGCAGATATAAAGTTGTCTAATGAAATCTTTCTCTTTTCAGAATCTGAACCAGAATCCTAGAACATTATTACCAAAGTTTTTTGGGCTCTATAATTATCAGGTAATGGTGAAACTGTTTCTTAATATGATATTAATATATGTATACATTGTATATGTTAATGCCAAGTTAATGTCATAACAAGTTTTTACAGATCACTTTGTTGGTTGTCATACTCATTATCTTTGGTTGTAACATAATTGGAACATGATGTTGTGACAGTCAGGATCCAGTTGAATCCAACTTTAATTTTTCTTTGAAGACAAGAGGTCCCAAAGTTTGCTGTGGGTTACATTGTCAGCCAGTGCGCCATCATAAGGTAGATTAGCAGCCATAGCATAGTTGGAAAGGACAGAATCTTATGCTTCCACATGTTTTAATTTTTTTTTTTTTAATTCTATTTATTTTTTCAGTTTAGCTTGAACCTTATTTTTCTTATGACAGTTTTTTGTAAGCAGACAGGTTTACACCTCACATAGTTCCCATATCCTCACCTATATTCTTCCTTGTATTACTTATACTTCAGGATGGTACTCCACAACTACACCAAATTTCATACTATTATACTTGTTCACCAAAGTACACTCTCAACATACACTGCCCTTATTTAAAACTATTTAAACCCAAAAGTTCAGATTCCTTTTATTTTTCATTGTTATTTTTCATATTAGCGGCACACATGATCAAACAATTTTGCACTTACATGTGTATACACACATAAACGTAAATAACAATAGGCACTTGAAATGGTATTCTCTTTACTCTTTCACCTCAGGTTCAGAAACACTTTGTGATCACTATTCTTACTTAGACGTTGATAGTGTAATTAATAGTGTTAGTGAGCGATTGTCAGTGAAAATGTTCAGGTGGCTAACAAGATTATTATTATTATTTCTCTTGTTCTTGTTTCCCATATATTTATTTATCCTTCATTTACTGTTTATCATTATGGCCAAATATTTAGTGGAAGAGGTGGACCATCTTAAGAATTTGATCATACTTTTGTCTTTTTATTTACTCATTTTCTGTTTCTTTTGTGCTAAAGAATTAGATAGCGGGTGTATTTAATACCTAAGGTTCTCTGTGCAGTATAGTGGAAGAGCAATATTGAGTCTTTAGGTGCCACCTGAATTGAATTTTTATTGGACAAATTTTGTTAAAGGAGGATGAGTATAATTTTATTTTATTAATTTTAGGACTGACCATCAGTTCCAAGTAAGGGTTTTGGAACTGTGCTTAGAGGTGAAAAATATGATATTATGGTTATTTTTGTTATCATTAGTTTACATTTTTATTATCTCGGGACATGTTCGAACATGCACACACACATCCGCATACACCCATACATATGCACCCACACACACACAAACACACACGCACAAACACACACGCACATGCACCCACATGCACCACATGCATATACACGCACATGCATATATATATACATGCGCGTACAAGCACAAGCACACACACACACACACACACACACACACACACACACACACACACACACACACACACACACACACACACACACACACACACACACACACAAAAGCAAATGTACCTACAAGCACACAACCGCACACACAACCACACACACAACCGCACATGCACACACACACACACACACACACACACACACACACACACACACACACACACACACACACACACACACACACACAAAAGCAAATGTACCTACAAGCACACAACCGCACACACAACCACACACACAACCGCACATGCACACACACACACACACACACACACACACACACACACACACACACACACACACACACACACACACACACACAAGCAAATGTACATGCATGCACACACAACAACACACATACACGCACACACACAACCACACACACATACACGCACACACAACCACACACACAACCACACACACACAACCACACACACACAACCACACACACACAACCACACACACAACCACACACACACACACATACACACACACATACACATATTTTACTTAGTAACAAGTGGCTATAAGCAATTAACAGTTATATTAGACATGGAAATAGTGTGCATATGATGACTCATTATGTGTAGAAATTTCTTGTTTTGTTTGTTTGTTGGTATGCATTACCATGATGTTATTATTTGTTTTACTAACTCTTGGTCATGTTCCCTGTGTTTGCATGATTTGCTTCTTGAAACGAAGCGGGAGATGAGCATAAACAAGTAACTAGACAGACAGAAAATGTTTTTCTCTGTTAGAGGTCTGGTGTGAAGGTTATTGAAATAATTTTGATAGCTTAGATCTGAAATGAGTTGTCCTCATGTTGTTTCTGAAATTTAGGTGCAGTGTGCAAATGCAGCATTAAAGAAATATATATAATAATTGATAAATAAATGATAATAATGATTATAATTAATCAACTCCCAGAAAACGAAAGTCCCAGTCACTCGCCCTGCTCACCTGGAACCTCTGTGGTAGGAGCAGAATCCATATGCCAGACCTCTCAGACTGAAGATGAGCATTTTATGTCAGTCAGATGCATCATTTTCTGGTCCCTTGAAGTCTGTTGCAAAGTTTGGTTTCAAGCTGGAATAGAAACACAGCAGTAAAGCAGTGTGTTTACTTAAGAGAGAGAGACATCCATCAAAAAATTATATGAATACAAACAACAATTATTATGGAATTATAATAGATTTTTTTCAAAGAAATTAGCAGATCACATAAGAAGCTAGTAAATTGGCACTTTGTCATAAAATATACCTTTCAGTTTTGGCAAGTCTACACAAATAGAAAGACCACCTCATATGCATCATATACTTTTACAAAGATGCAAGGACCATTCAAGAGGTACTGAACAATTTTTTCTTTCTTTCTTTCTTTCTTACTTTCTCATTAAGACCAAAAAAATTCAGCATAGATGGCAAGCATGAGAAATATGAATATGTATACTTTCAAATACAAATATCTCATTTCCTCAAAGTTAGTATGGAATTTAAATTTTGCTTAATTCAGAAGAAAAAAATTAAATAAATGCAATTGGGTTTAAGATAAAATAGCAACACTCCAGAGCAAGCCTTTTTGCTTTTAAACTGGCTCTCTCAGAATGAACAAAATTGGTAGATGATATATACAGAGGGAGAGAGAAAGACCCAGTCAACAAAGTACCAACACATTGGTAAAAAATTGGTCAAATGGTATCGTATCCACTTCTGAAAACTTGAGTCAGCTCACATAGTGGCCAATTCCTGGCTTTAAGTTGTGCACACTAGATAGTTGTTTACTTTTTTGGCCTTGGCAATAGTCAGTGAAGAGAAACAGACCATGAGAAGTAGGCATAAAGCCTAGTTTTAAGCACATTATCTATAGAATTAGCTAATACAACAGCCCAGAGAGCAGGTAAATTTATGTACCTGTGTTTCTGTTTCTTTAATTGAAGTTAACCTAAGCTTCCAGTGATATGAAACACAGTGTGTGATCTGTAACCTTCGCATCAGACCTCGAGAGACAATAAAAGGATTTTCATTGTGATTTTAAAATATTGTGGCATTTTCAGAAATATTTTGATTTAACCTCAGTGTTTTTACCAGTAGGTATGGAATAGTTTTAAAAGTCGCACAGTAATCTTTAGTTTATGTTATGCAGGAGAAATTGTACAAATAATTGAGTTACATTATGTAGAAGCAAATTATGTTTATGATACTATTGTTTGGGATTTTGCTTTGAAAAATTTAAGTTCCTCCCTATATTATTTATATATACTTCATAGTTAATTGTTAGCATCTGTGAGTTGCTAATTTGCTCACCCTTTCACATTTTATTGAATACTAAGCATGTTTTTTTTTTATTTATTTATTTTTGAGAAGTGATATATTGACAAATTTACAAGGTGTTTACTGTGAACTTTGCAGAAATATATAAAAGATGTGGCAATTGGGTAACATGGCTATGCCTTTTTTTATTATTATTATTATTATGATCAAAATCCATGACTGAACATTTCTTTCCCCTGAATTATTATAGGAATTACTTTTACTTGGTTTATAATTTTACTGAAGTGTGAATAGGGAAAGCCTTTTACTTTTGAACATTACAAAATTCTTTCATGATTAGATTAAGGCACCTCTGTGAGCATATAAATGAAATGCTCTGATGCAGTGCCTGAAAGCATAATAAAGATTTTGAGGAGATATTTTTTTCATCTTTTAAGTAGTTGTAGTCATGATGAAGTGAAATGCACACACATCCCCCTTCCATAGACACACACACTCACACAGTCTCACATACACACACAAAAATACATAGGTGTACATTTGTACTTATATGAATGTACATCGGGGAAATGGGAGATGATTTTACACTTCAGTAAGTTGAAAACATGAAGTGTATATTAGTTAATTATAATTTTCCTCGTAGTTGCTCAATGGTTGTGACCACTGGGTAATGTTTCATCAATTAGAATTTGACTTTATTTTTAATTGTTTTCTTATTGTTTATCCCCACAGTGTAATGCCAAGAATATTAGGTTGATAACAATGAACAACTTACTTCCGTCATCAATAAAGATGCATCAGAAATATGATCTAAAAGGTTCTACGTACAAAAGAAAGGTAAGGTATTAATTATGATGTTCATATTAATTTTGTATGGCACTCTAATTTTTCTGTAAAAGTTTGGACCTCTTTTTCTTTCTTTCTTTCTTTCTTTCTTTCTTTCTTTCTTTCTTTCTTTTTGCAGGGGGGTGGGTGTAAAGTCAGATAAGGATGAGTGTTTATTAGTTCACACATCTGTTTTTTTTTTTTTTTTTTTAATTATCAAACTGGTGGTAGCAAGTGCAAAACCTCATCCCAAAGTTTGAGCTATTTGCTTATGACATGATACCACATCACCCATCATGGTATGTTGATGTTTATAAAGTGTGTTCTGGAATTTTCCAACCATTTAAATAATGCAGACCCTAACCAGCAAATGTTGCAAAATACTTAAGTATGTAACAGTTTTTAACAGAGACCAGTCCTATATCCCAAGGACGAATTTGTTACATGGTAGTCTGTAAAATCAGTAATTTTTTTTCTCTTAACCCATTAGTAACGGTATCAGATGTCACGTGGAATGTGTAGGTTGTAAGAGAGATTCACTCCCAGATTCACACATTTAAATGCTCTATATTAGAAACTGTATAATTAAAGCATCTACCAGGTTTCTACTTAGTTTTTACTATAATGTGTATAGATGATAATGTCTTTGTCGCACAAGGTTAAAGAAAAAATCTATATTTAAATTAAAGTATTGTAATATATGAGTAATGATAATGCTACTGTTGATGATGATCATGATGGTCATGATTATGATAATGAAAATAACAATAATGTTAATGATAATGGCAGTCGTAGTAAGAATACCTGTAAAGATGATATAATGATAGTAATAAGGAATACTATTAATGATGATAACAACAGTAATGTCAAGGATCATAGCAACAATAATAATAGTAATAAAGAATAATGATTAGAATAATTATTATAATGAAAATAATGATAGTAATGACAATGATTATAGAAATTATATATAATATTTATTGTGCTAATGGTAATGATGTTGATAATTATTCTGATAAGTATATTGATAGTAATAATAATAATAGTAATAATGACAATGATGATAATGATTGTAATAATGGTAATGATAATGAGAGAAGTAAAGAAGAGGAAGAGGAAGCGCATTTATTCAAGTCAGACTGAATACCTTCAAACTGTTTTCCATAGTGTATGGACTTCTCCATAATCTTGTATAACATTACAGTGCCTTCATTTTAATCCAGAATTTTTCTGTAATGGTTATATTTATTGTGATAAATACTGAGTCGAGACTTTTTACATACTTTAATTTTTCATTTTCTAATTCTCAAAAGTTATATATATATATATATATATATATATATATATATATATATATATATATATATATATATATATATATATATATATATATAGGGGAGTTGATCTTTTGCACTAACATTCGTCATCAGTAGATAACCTTGCTCACTGCTGACCATGTACAAGTACAGGATAGTGAATGTTCATGTATATGTCATATGGCCCCCCTTGACTAGCTGGCAAGTTACATTAAGGTCACAGACTTTTTTATGTTATTCAAAATAGATGGATACTTAGTGAGCAGGCCAAGTCTAAGTAGAGAAGTTACCCTGTTGAACAGAGTAATATCCTTGATTGTGCTTTTTGTTAAGTATTTGGATATTATTTCCTTTGATCAAATTCATAACTAATAATTATTGGTGGTGTTTCAGGCTAGTAAGTATGAACGAAGCAAAGAATCCCCAACATTTAAGGACTTGGACTTTATGGAGCACCATCCAGAAGGTATTCTACTAGAGGCAGAAACCTACAAAGCTCTCATAAATACCATTGCAAGAGACTGCAGAGTAAGTCACATTTGTTGTAGTAAGACTAAAATACGTCACATTTAACAATCAGGGAAATATTCTTTTGTTGTTATGAATAATGTGTTAGAGCTTAAACATGTATGTAGGAGATACAATGTTTTCATCATATAAATATCCTGAGACCTTATGAAAGCTGTATATGATAATATGATTAATCTCTGTAATCATGCAGTTACTTTCCTTGATAATTGGCCATCAGATTATTGATATGGAGCTATTGCTTGGATGGCTTAAAGAAATAGGTAACTCATTGTCATTAGGTTATATGTAGTGAAGCCAGTGACTGATTTAGAAAATACAGGGCTAAGTTAACATTTTGTTTATAAACCATGAAAAAGTAATAGCTGCAGCATATATGTAGCTTGATTCAGTAGTTTTTGGGGTATTTGAATACTGAGGAACTAAACATAGTTATGATTATCATTATAATGTTTGCAGATATGACAGAGTAAGGAAAGTAAGTTAATACTTATACAAATACAAATATATAAGTACATTTTGTTGTAAATTATAACAGTTATACAACTAATGTTTCTCTTCTTTTCCTTGAAGGTATTAACATCTTTCAAGATTATGGATTACTCCTTATTAGTGGGCATTCACAATTTAGATCTTGCAGCCAGAAAGAAGGCAGTAAGTATTTATTTATTTTTATTTATTTATTTTTTTTTCAATATTTTTGCTAATATCTCATTCCACAGCAGATTTGTTATCATTAGTGTTTAAAGTAGTGATGGTAGCAGTATCAGTATCAACAGTATGGATGTCAGTAGTAGCTTTAACTTAGTGATGTTATTATTATTTTTAAAACATGATTCTTCTTAGCTTGATGTATCCACATGATTAATTGTTGCAAGAAAAAAATGTATAATGTTTGTTAAATTTTGCTTTATTTAATTGCTATACCAGTGCATTTTTATGTGTATACAGGTTTGTATTATTGCTGCTACGTTTTTTTTATTTTTTAGAATTCCATGAAGTGAGGGTGAGCCAGGGGCCTTTATAAATACTTGTAGAATTTTCTCAAAGAGGATGTTTAGTTTTAAAAAAAGCTTGTTGAAAATCAAGTAATATCAGTGTGTTTAAATAAAGTTATTAATCAGCAAGTATATCATTACATTTTCTTTGAGATGCTGGACCAAATCAATCAGAGCATAATAACATTGTGGCAAATATTTTGTCTCAACAGCAAGACAAAGAGAAAAAATTAAATGGCGGAGATGGTGGGCCAGCAGACGACGGGAGCGGAGAGGCGGAAGGAGAGGGCACTGGCTTGACCCGATCCCGCTCAATCAATCGACACAAACTTGTGGCCCACTCAACTGCCATGGAATCCATCCAAGCAGATTCTGATCCTATAGATGAGGAGGACCATGTCCCGTGAGTGCTTAGGAGTCCATCAGTTGACGAAAGTTATTGATAATGCTCATTTTCTCTGGTGAAGTTTTTTAATGTGTTGGTATCTGTGCTTTTCTTGGGTTGGCAAGGTAAAAATACTAGATAGTGAACAAGTGAATACTTATTTGTATACAGTCTAGCCTGTTTCTTCTTTGTCTTTGGATATACATATACTTCAAACTTTAATGTATATTTCTATAATTGACATAAACGTTAGTAAAATGATGTGGTATATTCATCACATTCATTGCAATCAATAGGAAATAGAACTACTAAATTGCCATATTACTATTTCTGATATATTCTTTTTCTTTTTGTGGTTTCTATTTTGTTTTTGTTTTTTGTGTATGTCAGATTTTTGCAGAAAATAGTACCTTTTAGGTCATTAATCAGATTGGCATGGATGGCAAGATTACATGCAATGCAATATAAGTTTATTTATTGTATTTACACCTAGATGGCTCTACAAATGCCAAATCACCAAGGAGTCTGTTATTAGTCCTACCTATCTCATATATCAATAACAATAATAACAGTATCAATATCAATTGTATTAAAAAGAAAAACACATTTTCCCCGCCAATTCAGGGAATGGGGAATCAGGATCGGTCATAGGGCCTACTGATAGACTCCATTCCGGCTGAGCATGTGTGGGGCCATCTGTATGTAACAAAATTCACAAAAAGCTACAGTGGACAGAACGTAAATCCATGGTGAATGGGTTAATTCACCAGACGTATTTTGCCACAAATATAAATACCTGTTTGCATTTATATTTTCTTGTCTTACTGTATCCTCTTCATTGTTACAATGCTTGCAGGCCTGGAGGTATTCCAGCGAGAAATGCAAAAGGAGAACGACTGTTGCTCTTCCTTGGTATCATTGACATTCTGCAGAGTTATCGACTGAAAAAGAAAAAAAAAAACAAAATTAGAGCACAACATTCAAGTAATGATCATGATGGGGTAAGTAAAGTTTGATATTAAACCTTACGATTATTGTTAACTTTTTTCCTCTGTCCTCTTTCTCGTGGGACTGTGAATTTATGCTTGTACTTTATTACAGTGGTGAGGAGATCATAAGTATGAACAACAAACTGTAATTCACTCTTTATCTGCCGATTCCTTTTCAGTATGTTATGCCTACCTGATGTCATCTATTTTTTTCTATCTCAGTGTTATATTTCGATTTTAATTTTCTATTCAGGTCTATTATTTCTCTACTTCCTTCTGATTCTCTTGCTCCTGTATATTGAGCTGTTATTAAGGCATCATCTGTGATGTCGAAAAACAGTTGACACATAATATTATATATATTTTTTTTATCCACAATTGTTCCCTATAAATATTCTGCTCCCACAGAAGTAAGGGCTGCAGTAATGATCATGTTTATTTAATAAAAATAAATAAAATTGAAATTACGAGTTATGCAACTTCGTAAATTATGTAAAATTGGTCCCTAAATCCACATTACTTTGCCCCCCCCCCCTCTCTCTCTCTCTCTCTCTCTCTCCTCTCTCTCTCTCTCTCTCTCTCTCTCTATCTCTCCTTTTTTTCGTTACTTTACTTTCTATCAAGTTGATCACCAATCACATAGTGAATCATTAGACTAGGGTGGATAATATAATTATCTTCCTCCATCATCATCTAATCATCATTATTTCCATCGCTTCTTATTTCTCATATTGTTAAACCCCCCCATAGTTGCCCATAGTAATCATAATTATCACTCTTTGCAGGACACGAGTACAGTACATCGACCAAAACTTTTATGCCACAGAGTTCTGAAGTTTATGGAAACCCACAGTCTCCCCCCCCCCAAAAGATTCCATCACGTAAGGTTATCTCCACGCCATGTTCTATAGCTAAAATGTTCAAGAACAGTTGGCTGTAGCATTCTTTTTTTGTCAATATTTGAATTGAAAAAGTAATCTGCATTTTGCAAATTATAATCACCAGATAGCACCTTTTTTTAATCACCATTTTCATATCCCAAAGTAGTCTAATTTATGAGCTCAGTTTTATTATGATGATTTTCTGGATTTGCAAATGAGTGGCCAGAGTAGCTGCAGCTGAGTATTCTTGTAGAGTACACATAATGAAAACTGTACACTTGGATAGGCTCACTGTTGTATTTTACCATTTATGCTTGTCTCAGTGCCATCCACCATAGGAACAAAAATATTGCAGATTAATTGAGAATGAAAATTAGTTATGTTTTCCTCCACATGATGAAAAGAATGAAAGTATGGAATTTGTGAGGAGTCTGGAATTGTCTACAGACTTATGGATCATGGTAGTTCTCTGAAGAAGCTTTAGGAATATGGATGGTTGAAATTGGAAAAAAAAGGATTTTTGTTATTCTTAAAAGTGTTTCTTAATACAAAAAAATTGTCAATTTCAACAATGGCACTAGGTATTGAGATTACTCATCTCCCTGTTGATGGAGGTATACAGAAGTAGTGCTTACGTTGTGGAGACAAGGAATTTCTTTGCGCTTCTTTTCTCTTCTTTTTTTCCTTTTCCTTTTTTTTCTATCTCTCTTCCCCCCTATTCACGGGAATTCTATATGCGGTCTCCCAAAGCTGTTGATGGAATCAGTGTTTGCATACTAAGATAGATGTTGTTTTGATGGAACGACCTGCTGGCAGTGCTAGTACCATCGACTCTTGAATGTGGACTTTTCTCTCATGTTTGTAAAAGTGCATGTGATCAACTGAGTCAAGAGAACGGCATTGGGTAATGGGTGTACACATCCTATTTTGTGCCTCCGGGTCATGTGGAATTTTACTTTTTTATTTTTATTTTTATTTTTCACCCGAAAACACAACAGTCGTTGTAAGGACGTTTGATCAATTTCACTATAATTATGTTTTATAAATGTTGCCAGGACATATGGGAGATTACAGTTCTCTGTCTCTGCTATATTTCACATTATAGCCTATTTGAATTTTTCTTGCACTGCTTTGTTTTAGGTTTGGTCCCACAGGTTTTGTTCTTGTTATTATTAGTGTTTGAGGGGGAATGTGAGTAAGACAGGCCGATACTGCCTTGCATATTGATGCATTGGTTAAGACTTCCCTGACCACTCATACTCACTTTACTATTATCTTGAATGAAACAGGTTACAGATTTTTAGGTACGGTTATTTATCTTACATGATAAATATGTATGATATAAGATTAAAGATCTCCATTATGTTGCAATTTGTTACGTTAATGGTGAGTGAGGGTAGAAACATGGACCAGGTTACAAAGAACATGGCGGAGCCAAGGATACAGTGCTTAAAACAGCATGCCAGTGAGAGAAAGCCGTTCTAATGTGTAGATTTGTGTTATAATTAATACAAATTCCCACCTTAACCAACATCAAAAGGTCTTGAGGAGTAAGTAATGTGTAGTTAACACCTTTAACTACAAATGATCAAAATGCGGCAAACCATCCTCTAGTTCTCTCATTCTAAAATTCTCAGAACTATTTTTCAATCCTTAATACTGAATTGTGATGGACTGTCATGTATCGATACATAGAAGGGGGGGGTCTTTGTCATTGTACACTTAATTTGGCATTATGTTGGTAAAGAGCAAGGTGAAGTACAGGTGCAAATACAAAGATAGTATGTCACACATGCATATGCAAACAAGCAGTGCAAGCGGCCACACACAACACACCACACACACACACCACACACACACACACACACCACACACCACACACACTCTCTCTCTCCTCTCTCTCTCTCTCTCCTCTCTCTCTCTTCTCTTTCTCGCTCTCTCCTCTATCTCTCTCTCTTCTCTTTCTCGTTCTCTTTCTCCTCTCTTCCTCTCTCTTCCTCTCCTCTCCCTCTCTCTCCCTTCTCCCCTCTCTCTCTCTCTCTCTCTCTCTCTTCTCTCTCTCTCTCTCTCTCTCTCTCTCTCCTCTCTCTCTCTCTCTCTCTCTCTTTTTTTTTTTCTCTCTCCTCTCTGCTTTCTCTCTCTCTCTTCTCTCTCCTCTCTCTCTCTCTCTCTCTCTCTCTCTCTCTCTCTCTCTCTCTCTCTCTCTCTCTTTCTCTCTCTCTCTCTCTCTCTCTCTCTCTCTCTCTCTCTCTCTCTCTCTCTCTCTCTCTCTCTCTCTCTCTCTCTCTCCTCTCTCCTCCTCTTGCTTTCTCTCTCCTCTCACACACACACACACACACACACACACACACACAACACACACACACACACACGACAAACCACACACACAACACACCCACACACACACCACACACACACCACATCAACACACACACACACACAAACACATCCAAACTCACGCACACACACCCAAATTCACACACACCACACACAAATTCACACAACACACAAATTCACACACACACACACCCAAACTCTCACACCACCAAACTCACACCACCCCCACAACCTCACACATCCTTTCTCCCAACTCACACACACACCCAAAACAACTCACACCACACACCCCAAAACTCACACACCACCCAAACTCAACACACACCCAAAAACTCACACACACACACAACAACTCACACACACACACCACACAACACAACACACACACACCCAACACACACACACACACACACACACACACCACACACTCACACACTCACACACACACTCACACACACACACACACACACACACACACCACACACACACACAAACACACCCAAACTCACACACACACACACATCCAAACTCACACATCCACACTCCACACACACACACCCCAAATTCACACAACACACCAAATTCACACATACACACACACAATTCACACATACACACACACAATTCACACATACACACACACAATTCACACATACACACACAACACACCACACACCACACACACACACACACACCACACACACACACAAACACACACACACACACACACAAACTCAGCCACACAATCTCTTTTCTTTTAATTCTGAAACACACAAACTCAAACTCTCACTCACTCTCTGTCTCACACATATACTCACATTCACTCACTCACTCTCTGTCTCACACACACATACGCACACACACTCTATACCACACAAACATACTTCAACTCACACTTCTCTTTTCCTTTATATATAGATATTACAGGTATAAAGTATGTGATGTTTTCTTCATGCTTATTATATGTGTATCTATATTGTATCATGTGTAGAAGATCCTATGTATACACAGAGCCCACAAACACTGATATGATATAAATATTTTACACATAAGACCCAGAATGTATAAATGTGTAAACTATATCACCCAGTAGTTGAAATTTGTTTGCTCTAATATAGTTTAATCCCTAGATAGTTAGTTTAGATAAAACAAGATTTCATCACCTTAGGCCTTGGAGTAATATGGATCTGAAGAAAATATTGCTTAGGCATTTATTTATGTTGAAATTTGGGAAAGGAGATCACAGCCTTCTTTGTACCTCTTACCAGGATCAGAACTGCTGTTCTTTAGTTATGATTAACCTTGTAGACTTATGAACAACAGTATCAATAACTTCTACTTCTAATCCTCAACATCATCGACAGTTACATAAGTATATACGTGCATTGGGCTCGCAGGCGTCCTCTTTTAACTAACACACATTGTTGTTCTGCTTGCTATCTTTGTTGTGCTCCCCCCGGATTCATTGGTTGGTTGGGTGGTGGCCTATTGACTAGTGGACCTACAAGAAATTCAAAGGCGGCCATCGCAAATCCGAAATATGGCTCCAGCTACATAGGTATGATGACCCTTCCTATCTGACACCTCTTTATCACACTGTCCTTTTTCTCCAACTCTCTCAACACCCCAGTCATTATACAATTCTGAATATGTGGACCCTAGAATAACCCTGTTGTTTTCCATAATACATTCAGTTGTGCTTAGATATCCATTTTGTGTATATTAGTAATGGTCCTTACTGCAAGCACTCAGACGAACAACTTAGAAAAAAATGTCTCTTAATTTTCTCCATACTTCACTTTTCTCTTTTTTCTCATTTCAGCAGTCTTACAACAGCCCTTGACAGAAAGCAATACTTTGTCCATTTTATAGTTTTTGGTTTGTATTTATTTGGTTTGGTATCACTGTTTGTGGCCATCAGTGATACAACCATCCTTTCTTTGTTTAGCTTTTCCATATCTCTTGATGAAGAAAATAAGTAAATCGGGAATTGCATTTTACTTTGTTTTTATCTCTTTTGTTTCATATAATAACATACTTTCACATCTTTTTGCTCTCCTCTACACATTTCTGAAAAAGGGGGGATGCCTACTCTCACACCACGTATATATGTACCATAAACTGAGGTCATGAAGCATTATCTGCACTACTGCCACCTGTGCTTGTATATTTGGTAGCCATATTATTTATACCACA